GCGATGGGAGGGGTGGTAGGGTTTTGGGCGGCGACGAGAGGCGTAGGGTTTTGCGCACTGGGGTTCGTGCGGGCTCGGCGTGGGACGGGAAGTGGTGGTAGGAGCTCGGTTAGGTCAGGGTGGGAGTCCTGGTCAGGCGTGGCGCGTTTGTGTTGGAAAGGGAAGCTGGACTCGTCGAACACAACATGTCTAGAGATGAGGACGCGGCCGGTCGCAGGGTTGAAGCATCGATAGCCCTTGTGATCTTGGGAGTAGCCAAGGAAAACACATGGGACTGATCGGGGGGCCAGTTTGTGAGGTGATGTGGCCGTGATGTTGGGAAAGCAGCGGCAGCCAAATACGCGCATGGCAGAGTAGTCGGGATGTACCCCGTACAACAGGAAGAATGGCGTGTGCTGGTGGCGCGGGCGACACGGTCGGCGGTTGAGCAGGAAGGTGGCGGTTTGGAGTGCTTCGGCCCAGTAGGAGTAGGGCATGGAAGCATGGATGAGAAGGGATCGTGTGATGTCATTAAGGGTGCGGAGAGCACGTTCAGCGCGCCCATTTTGTGGTGATGTGTATGGGCACGACATGCGCAGTACTATACCAAGCGAAGAGAAGAACTGACGGGCGGCGAAGTTTTCAAACTCACGCCCGTTATCGGTTTGAACGGTGAGTACAGGAAGGTTGAAGTGAGTGCAAACCATGTGAACAAACGCACGCAATGTGGGGAACACATCAGATTTCAGTTTAAGGGGAAACGTCCACATGAAATGATTGTAATCATCGACAACGACTAAGTAGTACTGAAAACCGGACAAGCTAAGTACTGGCGAGGTCCATACATCACAATGGATAAGCTGAAATGGAAAGTAAGAGACATGATCTGAAGAACTAAAAGGTAAACGATGGCTTTTTCCTAGTTGGCAAGCGGTGCAGACGTCGCCGGCGGAGCGGGGAGCGGTGATGGAGGCGCGGCGAAGAGTGGAGTCTAGACCATCATCACCAAGATGGCCGAGACGACGATGCCATGTGTCACGGGTGACTGCAGTGAAAGCGTGGGGCGCTTGAGACGGGTGCGATGGGTGGAGTGGGTAGAGCTCGTCCGGCGAGTCAGAGCGGAGGATCACCGCCTTCGTTCTTCGATCCTTGAAAGAAAAACCACAGTCATCAAATTCTACATTAACTGGGTTATCGCGTGCAAGGGCTTTAACAGAAATGAGATTCTTGATTAAGTGAGGAGAGATAAGAATGTTGCGGAGAGAGAGAGGATAAGATGAAGTGGGAATGGTGTGTTGGCCGATGTGTGTGACTGCTAAGGTTGATCCATCACCAACTACGATATCAGGAGAGAAACTAGGGCGAGATGAGGAGAGCATACTAGAGGAGGAAGCCATGTGTGAGGTCGCGCCAGAGTCCAACACCCAGTCCCCGCCGGAGTTCGGCGGCGCCTGCCCTTGCTGCATGCTCATGGCGTTGAGCGCCTGAACAAGAGCGGCCTGATCCCAGGCCGACTGTGGGGCAGCGGCAGGCGCACCGTGGTTGATGCCGTAGATAGGATGCGGAGGGACCGCACCCATCTGCCAGTGCGTCGGGGGAGCCGATGCAGGTGGGGGAGCTGCGCCGTACTGTGCGGCGACGCCGGCGAAAGGCGTCGGACCACCGGGGCAGGGCTCAGGATGCCCGCACCGGGGGCATGGGGGCGCCAGGGCATGGGCCATGCGTGGACCATGCCCGTCCAGGGCGCTGGAGTAGGCGCTGGCGGGCGCGGTGCAGACGTCAAGCCCCCGCCAGAGCCCCTGCCCTTTCCTCTGCCGCGGCCGCCCCCGCCGGAGCGGTTGTTGTGGTCGCTGCCCCCGCCTGGGTTCTGTGCGGCGCGCCCGGCGTGTAGCGCGATGTCGTGGGGGGCCTCGTCAGCTTGGCGGCTCTCCTCCAGAAGGAGGAAGGCGCGGCAGCGCAGGAAGGTGGGAAAGGGTGTCTGCATGGTCAGGATGGGCACATCATAGCGAAAGCGAGGATGGAGACCACGGATCATGTTAAGGACCTGGTCGCGGTCACCGACGTGTTCGCCGAGGTCCGCCAGCCGGTCAGCATAGTCCTTGAGGCGGGCGAAGTAGGAAAGGATGGAGGACGAGCCTTGGTCGATGCGGCGAAACTCGGTGGCGAGCAGGACAAGCTGGTGCTCGCGGTTCTCCAGGAAGATGGAGCAGATGGCGTCCCAGACTTTGGCGGCGGTGGCGCCGCGCCGGTGCACCAGGCCGAAGATCTCCGGGCTCACCCGATTGTAGAGCCAGGAGAGGACGTGAGCGTCGTCCTGGAGCCAAGCGGCGTCAGGGCGGCGCGGGGAGCCGGTGAGGTGGTCGGTGACGCCGGACTTCTGGAACTGAACTTCGAAGAGCGTACGCCAGGTTGAGGCTGAGCACGATGGGGACGGGCTGGTTGATGAAGACACCGGCGAGCGGCGATTGGTTTGGCGGTGCGGCGGAGGAGCTCGCCTCGGTGTCGTGGCGAGTGAGTAGCGCACCCTGGGCAAGTGCATCGGGTGTGAGAAGGGGCATGGTGCGGATCGGGCTCGGAGCACCGCCGCGAGTAGACGGGGGTGGAGGAGGAGGCGGCGGCGGCGGTGGCGGAGGATGCGCCATGGCCGCGGGCAGAGGGCAGCGGAAGTAGGTGTCTAGAGAAGGCTGGTAACTGATACCATGTAGAGTAGTATGTGGGAGAGAAAATGCACCTTAGGTGCTCTCATTCCATAGGCAGCAATATATATGGTACAATGTACAGAGGCGCAATGGCGCTCGAGAAGAGAGGAGAGAGTGGGCGACGTGCGCAGTGGGGGGCAGATCGTGTGCATGTACGTGGGTGAGCACGTACGTGCATGGGATCGCCATGCAACTGTCAACAAAGATAACCTGAGGGTGTACCTCAAATTAGGAAGGGTCACACTACGAGTTTTTCTGTTCTGGTATCGCATTCCTTGGCAGTACTATAGAAACTTTGCATCTATAATATACATTTCTTTGTCTGTTGTTGAGATTTGAAGCTTGTTCTGTTCTGTAATTTAGCATATAGAGAACATGGTGCTGTTCCAATATCTCGTTCGCACACTTGAGGCTGATTTTGTACCTCGTCATATTGCATATAAAGGTAAAAGTGCCTGTCAACTTAACTGTTTTACATTCCTGTGTATAAGACAATATATTCTTAAACATTCTTGTGATTTTGTTGCAGAGTCATTAGACTGGGTGATTATCAGGGAATCTGTTTTAAGCGTGCTTCTGGTAAGACCTACCTACATCTGTAATTTATAAAAAGTAGCTTAGCTTTCTGGGCTAAAACTTTGTTTGTTGTTTCTTTGCCTCGTCATATTTTGTTGAAGATTTTTTTTTACCACTGACATAGTCACAGTTACGTGAAAGTATTGCAACGTCTGCGTTATTTTATGACATTTTTGGAATCCCTAATATTCATTAACAGGGATCGCGAAAACTGGTATTCAAAATGTTTGTCAAGAACTGCATATCCCTTCTGAACCAACATCAGCGGGAAGTTGAAGATGACATATCTTCTAAATCAGCATCTGATTTAGATTCTTCCTTAACCTTTTCATTGCTTGAGTTTGAAAGAGAAGCGCTTATATCCGTGAAAAAACTTTTCATTATGGTGAGCTATATCATAGTGTTTTTGATCATACACAGATTGTGTGAAGTGCAGATGCTAACTATTTCAGTTTTTTTTGTAGGTTATAAACCTTGACTTGATTAGGAAAGAAGCAGACAAATTGGGCCTGACTTCAAGGGCTGATGGCCTCAGGTTTGGTTCTTAGTTTCATTTTCTTAAGAATGTAACCATTGTGCCTGACATTCCATTTCCTTCTCTGTAGGAATCCTATCCTGGAAGTTATTCTAGAGGAGCTAACTTACAACACAATCTACTTATCCCCATTTCTTTTGGTAACTGCAAACCACTGCATCCTTCTGGCCTCTTACTCATTTTTCATGGATATCTTAATCTTATCATAATGTTGAACTTGCACGAGAAACTGAATGGGTGGTTCATTGTAAACCCACTCAAAGTTCCTAGTAAAGCTTGTCTGAATGCTTACCAATTTTCACTTTGTTATGAGTTCGCTTGATGCCAGCTAAAGATAGGAAATAAAGACCACATACTAAATTAGAATAGCTGACTTTACTTGAAATCTAGTAGTACTCTAATGTTCTGTTAATTCTTCAATCTGTTAGACCTTTCAGCCTGAGCATTGATAGTTGTGGATGACACTAGGAGAGTTGGGACAATTTTCGTTGGTTTATTTCTCACACAATGCCATGCCAACCTGAGGGGTTGGGGATACATATTTATAGGCTGCTAGCCAGCCAAGGCATATGCTAAGATGCTGCTAAGATGCCAGTCTAAGATGCTAGTCTAAGATGCTAACTGACAGTCCTTGATGGTCAAGAACAGAACTCTATCCTAACAGCCAGTCCTTGATGGTCCAGGACTTTATCCTCCTAACTGCCACAAGGACCATGTGCTGCAGCCCCACAAGGACCCTAGTACACAGACTTATCCATCATTCTCCCCCTAAGTCTTGTACGTCGTCTTGTGGGAGAGTTGAATCATCCCAATCCTGGAGCAAAGTTCGAGGAACTTGACCCTCCCAAGGGGCTTGGTGAGCAGGTCTGCGAGCTGATCCTTGGTGTTGATGTAGCTCGCCTCGATGCTCCCTTCTTCCACACAGCTGCGGATGAAGTGATACCTCAGTCGGATGTGCTTGCTCCGTTCGTGGAACACGGGGTTCTTTGCCAGGGCCAGGGCGGACTTGCTGTCCACCAGGAGCTGCACCGTTCTGGTGTCTTGAACGAGAAGATCACCAAGCAGTCGAGCAAGCCAGAGCGCCTGAGTACAGGCGGTGGAGGCCGCTATGTACTCAGCCTCACAGCTGGACAGGGCCACCACCTGCTGCTTGACTGATTGCCAACTCACGAGACACTTGCCGAGGAAGAGGAGGATCCCGCTCGTGCTCTTGCTGGTGTCGATGTCGCCGGCGTGGTCGCTGTCGCTATACCCGACGAAGTGTGCCGCCCCAGGGCACCTAGGGTAATGGAGGCCCTGGTCGAGGGTCCCTGCTATGTAGCGGACGATCCTCTTCACTGCCTGCTGGTGTTCCGACGTTGGTCGCTCCATGAACCGACTGACATAGCCGACGGAGAATGCCAAGTCCGGCCGTGTGTGAGTGAGGTAGCGAAGGCTCCCCACAAGGCGTCGGTACTGCGTAGCATCCACTTCCTCCGTCGTGCTGTCGCGACTTAGTTTCAGCCTCTCCTCCATCGGAGTGAGAGCTGGATGGCAGTCGGTGAGCCCAGCTAGCTCAACGATGCGCTTGGCGTAGGCGGACTGTCGAAGCGCGATCCCGGAGTGGTCCTGGTGCACCTCAATCCCTAGATAGAAGGAGAGGAGCCCCAGGTCACTCATCTGGAACGTGGCCTTCATGTCTTCCTTGAACGCCGCCACCTCTGCATCTTTGGTGCCGGTGATCACCAGGTCGTCAACGTAGACGCCCACCAGCAGGGCATTTCCTCCACTCCCCCGTCGATAGACGGCAGCCTCATGCGGGCTCTGCTCAAAACCCATCTTCTTCAGCGTGGAGTCCAGCTTGGCGTTCCACGCCCTGGGTGCCTGCCGCAGGCCATAGAGAGCCTTGCGCAGGCGGAGCACCTTGCCTTCCTGGCCGGGAATCGTAAACCCCGGTGGCTGATGCACGTAGACTTCCTCCTTCAAGTCGCCATTGAGGAATGCCGACTTAACGTCCATGTGGTGGACACGCCAGCCCTCCTGGGCAGCCAGCGCAAGGAGAAGTCGCACGGACTCCATCCGTGCCACGGGAGCGAAAGCGTCGTCGAAGTCGACTCCTTCCTGCTGCAAGAAGCCTCGGGCCACCAAACGAGCCTTGTGCTTGATGATGGCGCCGGCTCCATCCCTCTTCAGCTTGAACACCCACTTAAGGGTGATTGCGCGGTGACCTCGAGGGAGATCAGCAAGCTCCCAGGTGCGGTTTTGCTCGACCGCATCCATCTCCAACTTCATCGCGGCGCGCCATGCCGCGTCTCTCTCGGCCTCTGCAAAGGACCGTGGTTCGCCGTCTTCACACACGAGCTGTAGCTGCGCCTCCAGGTCACGTGGCACCAGTCCTGGCACCGGCTGGTCGCCGAGCACATTATCCATCGCACGGTACCGCAGCGGTTCGCCTCCATACCATGCGTCGACCCGCTCCTCGTCGTGAGTGAGCGGGGAAGCGAACTTCATCGGGTTGTGCTCTGCGTGAGCTGGTGCTGATGAAGACGAGCCCGGAGTGGCGACCGCCGGGGCTGGAGTATGCGGCGTCGCCGGTTGTGGTGTCGTCGGTGTAGCAGGCGCCGGAGTCGATGTAGTTTTGGGGGCCGGGGTAGACGTGCCCGGTGAAGAGGAGCTGCTTGCTCCCCCAGCTTCCTTGAAGTGAGCGTACTCGACAATGAAGTCGTCATACGTCGGCGTCGAGCCGTCGTCCACCGCCTTGTCCCATTGCCACCCTCGCCCTTCGTTGAACACGACGTCTCGCGCTGTGCGCACACGTTGTGTCTTTGGGTCGAGGATGCGGTAGGCCTTTGAGCCCTCCGCGTAGCCGATGAAGACTCCCGGAGTGCTCCTGTCGTCGAGCTTGCCGATGTGGCCGAGCTCCTTGGCGAACGCAAGGCAGCCAAAGACCCGCAAATGAGAGACCGCCGGCTTCCGCCCATGCCAGGCCTCGTACGGAGTTCTGCCGTCGAGTGCCTTAGTAGGAGAGCGGTTGAGGATGTAGACGGCCGTTAGCACCGCCTCTCCCCAGAAAACAGCCGGCATCCCTCTCTGCTTGAGGAGAGCCCGAGCCATCCCCACAACCGTCTGGTTGCGCCGCTCGACGACGCCGTTTTGCTGCGGGCTGTACGGCGCGGAGTAGTGGCGCTGGATGCCCTCATCGGCGCAGTACGATGCGAATTCAGCCGCCGTGAACTCGCCGCCGTTGTCAGTGCGCAACACGCGCAATTTGCGGCCGCTCTCCGCCTCCACACCAACCTGCGCGCGCCTGATGGCGTCCGCCGCTTCTCCCTTACTGCCGAGGATCATCACCCACATGTAGCGGGAGAGATCGTCGACGAGCAGCAGGAAGTAGCGTCGACCTCCTGGTGTGGCTGGCGTCACCGGGCCGCACAGGTCTCCGTGCACGAGCTCCAGCTTCTCCTTAGCCCGAAAACTCGCCTGTTGGGGAAAGGGGAGTCGTCTCTGCTTTGTCAGTACGCAGATGTCGCAGAACTGCTCCACATGGTCGAGGCATGGCAGGCCTCGCACCATCTCCTTGGCACTTAGACGCTTCAGGGCCTCAAAGTGAAGGTGCCCAAAGCGCTCATGCCACTGCCACGCCTCGTCGTCTCGACGGACAGCGAGACAGACCGGTTGTGCCACCTGCACATCAAGGACGTAGAGTCGATTTTCACCTCTGGGCACCTTGGCGAGAAGGCGACGCTGGCGATCCCAGATGCGTAGGACCCCATGCTCAATCAGCACGCGTGAGCCGTTCTCATCCAGTTGTCCCAAGCTGATGATGGAATTCCTTAGCGCGGGGATGTAGTAGACACCGGTGAGCAGCCGGTGCTCTCCCATCTTGGTGGTGAAGATGACGGAGCCGACGCCCTTTATCTCCACAGCGGAGGCATCCCCGAACTTGACGGAGCCTCGCGCATCGGAGTCGAGCTCGGCGAAGAATTCCCTTCGACCGGTCATGTGGTGGGTGGCGCCGGTGTCGAGGCACCACCCCGTAGCCTTGTCCTTCCCGGAGCCATCGCCGAGAAGAGCATGTGCTTTTGGCTCATCGAGGTGGATGAAAGCCTTTGCGACTGGAGTCGCCGAGGGTAGCTCAATGCTTGCATGCGCCATGAACAGAGCCGTCTCCTCCTCCTTCGCCTGTGCGACGTGAGCCTGGCCTTGTCGTGGTTGCCGACACTCATTGGCCCAATGGCCAAACCGGCCACAGTTGTGGCAACTGTTGTCTTGTGCCGGCCTGGGCTTGCCAGCGGCGCCGTCCTTGGCGCCTCCGCGGGCGTCACCTTCGGCACGTCCTTGTGCCCTTCCCGGGGGGCCTCTTCGCGCCTTACGCTGCTTGCCACGCTTGCGGCCGCCCGTCGAGGAGGAAGGCTCCCCCTTCTTCTTGTCACCAAGGCTGGGATCCCACTGCTCCCGAGTTAGGAGCAGCTTCCCGCCGGTGGTGACGGGCCCCGAGGGGGGCTGTGGCTCGTCGGTGTCGACGACCTTGAGTCGACCTATCGCCTCCTCGATCGTCATCGTGGAGAGGTCCAGCAACGACTCGATCGAGCGAGCCATCTGCTTGTACTTCTCGGGAATGCACCGAAAAAGCTTCTCGACAGCTCTCTCCTCGGTGTAGGTGGCATCGCCAAACTTCACCATCTTCTGCAGCAGAGTGTTGAGACGGAGAGCAAAGTCATCAACGTCCTCACCTGGCTTGAAGCCCAGGTTCTCCCACTCCTTACGAAGTGCCTGCAGGGTGGACTTGCGAGCACGGTCGCTGCCGATGCGTGCTGCGGCAATGGCGTCCCAAGCCTCCTTGGCAGTCCGCTTGTTGGAAAGCGAGAACTGCATCTCGGGCGGGACTGCGGCGATGAGGGCGTCCAGCGCCCGTCGATCCTCTAGGTGGTCGACGTTGCTGTCCTGGACTGCCTCCCACATGCGCCGCACCTGGAGCCTGACCTTCATGATCCCGGCCCACTCGACGTAGTTGGTTTTAGTGAGGGTAGGCCACCCAACACTGGAACCAACATCCCTGACCACAGTCCGGACCTCGTAGAGGCCGCGGTCCTGGTCGTTGCAGCCGCCGTCGCGGTGCGCGCCTCCACCTGGAGCGCGGGCGTGCTCGGCTGCCCACTGCGCCGTCCGCTCCTGCGCCACTTTGGCACGATCTGCGTCGGCGCCGTCGTCCGCAGGCGCGGAGCTGCTGGAGCTGCCGGGGCTGCCGCGGAGTGCCTTGGCATCCGCCGTAGCCTCACGGGCTGCTTCTGCTGCTGCTGCTGCTTCTACCTCCGCCCTGGCTGCTTCTACCTCCGCTCTGGCTGCTGCCAGCTCCGCTGCAGCCAGCCTCGACACTCTTGCCGCCGCAGCAGCCGCTGCTACAGCCGCTCGCTCACGCTCCTCTGCCACGGCGCGCTCGGCCTCTTGCCGGCGCCGCATGCTCGAGGTAGCCGTGTGCTGAGAGCGACCTGCAGACATGGCTCGCTGCAGGGGGGCTGTTGCGTGAAGAGGAGGCTGATGAAGACGAGCTGCTGCTCGACAGTCCGGAGGGAGGAAGGTAACCAGAGGCAGACGGAGCAGCTGCTGCTACCGACTTGGGCTGCTCACAGGAAATGCTCAGGGTGCAGGTTAACCTGGCTCTGATACCACTTGTTAGACCTTTCAGCCTGAGCATTGATAGTTGTGGATGACACTAGGAGAGTTGGGACAATTTTCGTTGGTTTATTTCTCACACAATGCCATGCCAACCTGAGGGGTTGGGGATACATATTTATAGGCTGCTAGCCAGCCAAGGCATATGCTAAGATGCTGCTAAGATGCCAGTCTAAGATGCTAGTCTAAGATGCTAACTGACAGTCCTTGATGGTCAAGAACAGAACTCTATCCTAACAGCCAGTCCTTGATGGTCCAGGACTTTATCCTCCTAACTGCCACAAGGACCATGTGCTGCAGCCCCACAAGGACCCTAGTACACAGACTTATCCATCACAATCAGTAATCCGCACATGTGCTGGATTTTCCCCAGGAAAGGAAATGTGCACAACCCTTAAGCTTCCGCGTAATAGTTGTTGAGATAGCAGAATAAGATGTCTCCGTAGCTTTATAGTAACCGCACAGTCAAGCATAATGCCAGTTAAATTAGCTTTCGTTGTTACACATCTATAATTAATTTTCCTATTCCCTGTGTGATGTCCCTGTTGTATGGGGGATTCCTGTTCTTTTTTCCAAGATCATGCAGGAGAGCTGCATGTTCTACAATGTCATTTGAAAGGTATGACCCAAAGAAAAGACACAACCCAGAAAAAGGGAAACACACAGCCACCTAGGCAGCCTGAAACGACCTAAGGATTGCTACCACTAAAATACTTGTGCCGATGGCCATCCATGACCTCAAGCACAATCGTCCTCACCAGGCCACACCCTAGTCAATTACAAGTATAATCTGTAAGGCATGGGAAGCAGTCATCCACCATGGGAGTTTGCAGCAACAGCCAAAACGCCGCACCATCCGGCTATGACCTCGGCAACTCTTGTACAAGCATCACGGAGGCAGCAACAACTTTTTTTTTGGAAAAGGAGGATATACCCCCGGCCTCTGCATCTGGACGATGCATGCAGCCATTTTATTAATTATTCACAAAGACCATACAAAGTAATACATCAGTAAGCCTGAAGCCACCATCTAGGCAACACCTGTTGCTATTCCTATCCCTTAGATGAAGGTGTGCTGAATATCCGGGCCGAGTACCAAACAAACATTGCACCAAACCCTAACATCTAAAGTCGGATGCCCCAGCCCAGCCACACACCGGGACTGGGTCACACACCGGTCCAGTGCACTCTCAAAGATCACCGCAACCGTCTTCCACCGATCCCTCTCCAGAGCAAGCACTGACGCATCACCATTGCCAGGCTGCCGTCGACGCCACCACGGCGCCACACAGCGCCACCACCCTCCACGTATCCATCCACACGCGACCGTCGCCGAAACTCCGCGGCGCCATGCCACCAAGATCCGCCGCCAGCCATGCGGTAGATGTAACATCGCTCGTCCTCTTGTCCCCTCTAGCCAGTGGTTGCTCCAAAACGATGCCCCCAGGAGGGCGAACGACACCGCAGGCGTCATCATCGTCCGATCCGGTAGACCTAGATCTAGGGTTTCCCCCGGAACATCCCAATTGGGACTGCCGCTAAACGCCACCCAACCAAGACGAGCCCACCACCTTCCCATGCTCACCGAAGGCGACACCTCCATGAAGATGACGACGCCGCGAGCGTCGCTGCCGCCCAATCCAGAGGGATTTGGGTTTTCACCCCGGTACACGAGCAAAGGAGGGAGGCAGAGGCGGAATGGAGAACCTTGACGGCGCCTATATGTAGGGGACGGCGCCTGCACGCGTCGCCGTCGTCGTGGCCGGAAGATCCGGCCTTGGATTTCTCTGGGCTCCACACTTCCCCATCCTTTCCTCAGACGCGGCACCGACGACCAAGGGCAGCCGGAGACCAGATCGTGAGGCTTGGATTGGGACGGCGTCAGATCCGGGATGGGTGCCCCCGAGGCCACCACGCCCCGCAGGCACCACCCGCCGCCATCTTGCCGCCCGTGCGGCCAAGGGGGGCGGCCAGCACTTGCAACAACCGCCGGCCAAGGGCCGCCTCATGAGGCCGCCGCCTTGGTTCCAAGTCCCCCGTGCGCGGCAGGGCGGATAGGACCCTCACCGCCATCTTCCCCAACGGCCGCGCGGCGTTCCAGCGACCCCCTCCGATGGCAGTGAGGGAGAGGAGAGAGGGAGGGGCGGCCGGCGGTGGACTAGGTTTAGCGCCGCCCAAGTCGCCCCTGCGGGAGCGACGCGGGGACTGCGAGCTGTGATCACCTTAATTGTCAATTTCAGAGGCAGCAGCAACTAGTCCCTAGCGATGACCGACCTCCAGTTGCATGAGCATCAGGTTGACCAGGGGCAAATGAACCTGGTGTGGAGAATGGCCAATGCAGCCACTCCAACCACGACGCCTTCAAGGACCGTCTCCAGCCTGTCCAGCACCGTCAAGACTACCAATGACTAGCCATGGAACCGAACGGATAGAAGAGAGCCGGCAGTGATGAGGGTTTGGTGAGGTGGGAGAACGGCCAATGGTTTGGGAAGGGGTTGAGGCAGTGAGGGTTTGCTTCATGGGATTACAAGTTACCCTAACATTGGTCGTGTTATTTTTGAGAGCCCCCGTTTTAAATTCCACCGAATCTATACAAATCAGCTAAAGGTGACTGACTAGAGTTAAGGTCTCAGTAGAGATCTGATATGCATATTACTGACTACTTTGATTGCTTTGCTTCATGAGTAGTACTCAAACTTGCACAAGAATGTCTTAGTAATACCCATGATTGTACTTTCCAAATTCCTAACTTTTACGTCTTGTAAAGCAATCAAACCAAGACCTATGATGGTTAAGCAGCTACTATGTTAGTGTTTTGGGTCTTCATGTGGTTTTACAGGTAAAAGGGTGTTCCGGGGCAGCTGTACGGTTGAAACTGAAACTTGTCTCTTTTATTTTGGGTCATTTATATGGAATAGCTGTGCTGTAGCTGGCTATACACTAATAGAAACAGCACCACTATTGGGTGCAATAGCTGCCATAGCTGTATTAGCGGAACTCCATGCGTAGCGGTGATAGATAGCTATTTAGAAAACTACTTGGCAACTAAACTGTTTGCCAATGATTAGGCACATGGCTTAGTTTACCAGCTTCTTTTTTTGGTGAAGTGCGGACTTCGGAGTTTGGTCCATCGCTGATGGGTACCTCAAGTGTTTAATAACTGTTTGGACACAAGTTAGATATCTGGTGCCATTTAGATACGAAAACTTGCACCTTAAACTCTTAAATGCTATATGATCTTTTTTGGCAATGAAAACAAAGAGATCAAAGCTATTTAGATACCGGAACCTGTACGCATAATTTTGTTTCTATTTGCTGCTCATTTTCCTGGTACTCCACTTTGATAGTAAATTAATGACTTTGTTTATCAACCGCAACAGGCCTTCACGGAGTGGAAGTGGAAATTGCAGATTATCCTGCTGTACTTCTCAAGATATCAAGTTAAGGTATTCTAAATTTACTTTATAATCACCTGATTCTTAGCATGCAAATGCCTTCTGTGCAACTAAAGAAATGCCCCTTTGGAGACAGTGATTGGTGTTTCAGTATATACAGCAGAAGTGTGACAATTGTTGTATCAAATGTTGGTATCAACTGTTGCTCTCCAGTTGATACAAATTTTCTTGCCTCTTAGATAGGCTCTCCAAATGTTCCACCCCCATCATGTCTTCATTGGCATTATCTGGACTGGTTTGTTTTATTAATTACATAGGACTTGAATATGTACCTATAATTTCAAACTGAGTTCTGAAATAAATGGAACATCATTTAAAAAATTCTACAAGTTTAATCTGACAGACAGAATCACCTTGAATTTGGCCACAACGAAAATGAATTCCAATGCTGAAACAGCAATATTGGTTCTCAAAGCTTAGGCTATCATTTGCAGGCTTATCCACAGCACTTAGATCATCTCAAACACACTTGACTTTAAAATGACACCACAATAGTAAACTTTATGCTAAATAGACATCACAAGAGCAAACTTTGTGGTAAATAACACTCCCGGGGAATATTCCATTGTGAGTTTCATTTAGAATGACACAAAGCGCTTCTCTTCCCTGCCTCCATCTCTTATCAACCAGTGACGTCCATTACCCTGTTTCCTAGGCTGCATGCATGTTTAGCTCCACTCTCAACCATGCATATGGTACCCCCTCCGATCGATTATAAGTGTTGCAGTTTTGAACTAATATTAGTTCAACCTTGGTTCAAAACCGCGATACTTATTATGAATCGGAGGCGTACCATTTTACAGATCTTTTGCTCTTTCCTATGTTATTTGAAAGTCTAGCATGATTGGATTATTTGTCCTCTAAACAAGAATCTTAGGAGTGTTACTGACCTGTACAAACAATTGTTTTTTGGACACGTTGATAGAAGTTACAAGTACTACAGTTTAGATGTCAATTAGAAAAGGATGTCAAGTACTACTGTTTGGTTTTTATAGGCAACTTTTCCCACACACATGGAACTCTTATTTGTAGTAGCATTTTTGAGAGATAGACATCAAAATGCCAACTAACAGGTGCAGATGTATAGCACAAACTAACGTATTATTTATGAACTCAGTTTTCTGTGTGCATGGAGTTAAAATGACTAGAGAGATCATTATTAAATGTTAATATTGACATGCTAATTGGTGTATTGTCCTCGTTGTCTCTTCTACCTGAGAGCTTTCACATAAGTTCATTTTGTGATCAAAGCAAAATCATGGATGCTATTGCCACCTTTTTTGTTGCTCATAGTCTGCAGTCCGTACTCGGAGGTCAGATAATTCTCAACAAGATTTGACAGTGGAAAGCGCTCTGAGTATGTTTTCATCAGAAGCAAGCGCAAAGGCCATGGTTAAGATGATGTGTCCAGAAGTTGCTCAGCTTCTCTTAGCACATGCATACCAGGTTAGGGCATTAAGTGCCTGCTCCTTATTTTCTATGAAAGATTTTTTTGTCTAGATTTTGGACAGAGGCGACTAGATATTTGATTTGACCCCAGAAATGTATGTTTTGACCCTAGAAATAGTGACATGGAATAATATAGACGCATACACGTCTCCAGAATATAGTTTCTAAGGTGATACTCCTTGGTAGATAGGCAGTAAGCATATGTGTCTTTAACTCTAGCTTTTGTGTGCTAATACTTTCACAAAAATGTATGGCCATCTTTGCATTGTACTGTATATTGCCTGATTATCTGTCATTCAGGTTGAGAGCATAAACGCATCATTCATCCATTATTTGCCGCTAGCTTGATACTGTCTAGAGCATATTCTTTTTCTCTTTGTTTAATTGAAGAGCGTAATACTATTGTTATTAAGAAACTTGAACAGGCGGCATTGTAGATCTCTGTCATCCATGTTCCCACCCTGATGTTCTTCTGCTGTTCTGATATTCTTCCATTTACAGCAATCTACATCTTGGGTTATAATTTTGACAATCATAAAACCTTTCAGGTCTGCCTATCCGTTGATGGTGATTCTAGCGAAGCTAATGATGCAGCAAAAATGATGGGAGCGTCTCTTCTCGAGATATCTTGCAAGTTTGTGTTGGCTTTCCAGAATCTGAGAAAAATCAACACGTGAGTATTTTGTTGTGTTTATTATCGTAGCGGCCACCATGATTCTAAAGCTGTCAGGACTCAGGAGATGAGTGTCAGATGGTACTCTCGCTGCATGTCGGGCAGCCATATCAGACTATCAGTACGGATCTGCCAACAAATTCACTAAGTTCCCTATGCATTTAATTTCTGTATACCGTTTTGCAGGAACATTCAGATTTCACAGTTTGAGAAAGAAGCTTTGTTCACTGCAGCAACGCTGACAAGAAAACTGCAGAACGGGTGAAGATTGGAGACTTGGAAGTATTCATTTTGGATTTTGGAGACTTGGAAGCGATGGGATCAAATGGTTTATCTTAAGAGAACGATGGATCTTTGTCTCGTCTATTGCACGGCAAAGTATGTTACCTGTGTATATATATTTCGGTTATCTATTTCCTCTGTAGTAGAGTATCCGACCCTGACGTAAAGAACTGAAGCATCTGGGTTGCTCATCCCAGGGCAGATATCAAATTCACTTGGTTTTCTGCTCGGCAAATATGTACTAAAGAATGCTGGTTTCGTCTTACTCCCTTTGTTTCAAATTACTTGTGGCAGGTATGGATGTATTTAGATGTATTTTAGTTGTAGATACATCCATTTCTGCGACGAGTAATTTGGAACGGAGGGAGTAGATGGTAACCAAGCAAACCAGCCCGGGTGTACTAGAAGAGGCTGAAATCTAGGGCCTTGTTGTTAGCCTTGAGAGCAATGCTAATCTTGTTGTCCTCCGTACCTAAATACAAGTCTTTTTAGAGATTTCAATGTGAAGTACATACGGAGCAAAATAAGTGAATCTACTTTAAAATATGTCTATGTGTCTGTATGTAATCCCTATTGAAATCTCTGAAAAGATTTATATTTAGAAACGGAAGTAGTAGTACATCTAAATAGCTTATCCACTAACCTATTTTTCTCATACATGCAAGTATAGTATGTCACCTTGGAATACAACATGCATCGAGAAAAGTCCATCACAATATGTAATCATGCATAGGAAAAAACCCATGTCAACATGCAAAAATGCATGAGGATTTTTCATTCTATTATGCTATTTATTATTAAATAGATATTTTAGAACTATACAATAATAATACGCAATAAATCATATGTATTTTTAATTTTAGTTCTCATAGAACAATGCCCGTGCGTTACGACGGGATATAAATATTCTAGTACGTTTGCTTGTAATTTATCTGTCCATAATATGCGATTGTGTTAATAAATGTTGATCAAATTTTGTTCGTGATTTACCTTATATTTTGATCGAAAGTGATTTACCTGCCCATAGTATGCGACTGTGTAAATAAATGTTCATCAAATTCTGCTCCTGATTTACCTTGTATTTTGATTAGAAGTTTGGTAAATAAATTAAAGTGGAATTTGTTTAGAAAGTAAGTAATACATGGGGAAGGTTGGATGAAGGGATGGTGCGAAGACAGGTGAAACGGGAGCCTTATGTTCTTTTTAAGTAGTAGAGATACTATTTGTTGTTCAGCCAACAATTCAGCTCACCTGTGTGCGAAACATGCAAGCACACTGAGTGTGACTGATTGCTGGATGAACTCTCCTCCTGATTTCCTCGTGACAACCTGTTGGCTGATCGCGTTGGAGCTGGAAATGATTGAATAAAGCTCTATGATTCCTGCAAAAGAAAAATACAATCAAATCTCATTGGTATATATTGCAAAACATTCATACAACAAAAGTATGGGGTAACTTCTAGTAAATAATATACCCAACAATTGGCTGTATAAGACCGGCGTGTCATTCATAGCCAACATACTTAGTCACTCATATAATAGAGTTGGTTATAAGGTTGGCTACTAGGTTAGTATTTTTTTTTGCACTTTTCGATTTCCTTTTTCTCGCATTTACTCTTTTTATCTACTAGCATGACAAAATGACGAAGCTTTGACACCAAGTCGTAGATCTAGACTTCTTGGTCGGAGTCACACGTAAAGCAAGTAAAGACCCCTAGTGGTTGTTGTTTAGGGTTCTAAAAGAACCCCACGATGGAGTTGTGAGTATGTGTTTTGTGTTGATCTCCTCTCTGCCCATGTTGTGGTTCTCGGATGATTGAGAAAAAGGGGTTTCCCCCGCTTTATATTATAAAGCAAACCTCCGATACATCCAGCACGCTGGGGCCGCAGCACAGATAAGCCCAAAAGAAAACAAAAAAAAATGAAAGAGAAATGAATGCCGACACCGGCAGATCAACGATGAAAGGAAGACCGGCAACCGCTGCACCCTCCGACGAAGTGCCACCGCGCTCCCAGCATCTCGAAGCGCCTCGCACCAAGCAACACCTTCAAGAAGGAATGCGACGACGCCGCCGCTGTTGCCCGATCAAGTTCTAGGGTTTCCCCCGGTACGCGAGGGATGGTGGGGAAGGGATATATCCGACGCCCCTCAGGAAGGTCCAATGGTGCCCGCAAGCGTCACCGCGTTGGTGCCGGACAAGCCGACAAGGATTTCTCCCGATCCAGAACCACCACCATCACCCGAGGCACTTCGAGATGCACCACCACAACAGCCGCCCACCAGCCTGTGCCACCACGGTTACCGGACACCCCCGCCGCCTCACTGGAGCTGCCAACACGAGGCCTAGCTCGGGCAAAGAGACCCGGCCACGGGAGCGAGCACAACTCAGACAGGGGGAGGGGACACTCTTCACCAGCGCAGCGGAGCCGGCCGGACGCGGCAACGAGGACTTGCCGGGCCTCGACGGCCCGGCCGGGTCCACTTGGACCCGGACAATCCTGTCGTGACGCTGCAACTCGCCGACCGACGAAGTCCGC